GCTTTTCTCAGCTTGTTTAACTCCGACACTGAAGAGGAGGACTTCGATGGTTTCAGTATTTCAAACCCGCATCTGAGACCACCTGCGACAGCGCAGCTGATATCTGAGGCAGGAAACATAGCCTTATATGGTGTTTTTGGGGTGGTAATTATGCTAATCTCCTCTCGAGTGCACGAGCAGCTGGATACGAACAGGTGGAATTTACGCAGCTCATTTACACACTTTTCCTGAAGATATTTGTTGAATTTTACGTGGCATGTTCGTACGAACCCTTTGTACGAACAAAAGTAAGAGAAATTTAGGAAAAGAATACGAACATGTTCTTGCATGGGGCCCAGTGTATCAGTCATTTGTTTTATTTTTTAATGTTTTCACTCTTACAAGTTATAATACGGTTGAACTCAATTTAATTCAGTTTATTTAAATAGTTCCAAGTCGTAAACGTTATCTCAGGACACTGTAGGATAAAACGATGTAATGAAGCCAGCAGATTGCGTTTAATCTTCACTTCCTGTCATTCTGAGCAGATTCAGTGTTGTGATAGATTTAACTGTGCTTGACGCTAACTGCCTGCTGTTCACTCCAGGTGCACGTCGCTGCGCAACATCCGAGACAATGAGGAGAAAGACTCAGCTTTCCGTGGGATTTGTATAATGATTGGTGTGAATCCAGGAGGTGTGGTGCAGGTAAGACACTGCAGTCATGCAGCTGTCAGGTTTCACCTTTCTATTATTTGACTCATCGCTCTGTTTCTTTTGTTTTTCAGGACTTTATCTTCTTCTGTGATGCTGTGGCCTCCTGGGTGAATCCTAAGGATGATCTGAGAGACATGTTCTACAAGGTAAGGATCTGGGTCATATAGTGGGTTAATGTCTTGGGTTTCCCCAGATAAAATGATTTTAATTCTGTGTTCGGTCTCCTCCTGCTGCCACATGAGTCACAGTGAAGTGTACAGATCCCACATCGAGCAGTTTGTGCGTTGGACAAAGTGCTTCTCCTCTGCATACAAAAACAGTCCTCCATGATGTTTAGGGATGGGTACCTTTGACGTTTGAATCGATTCAGTACCAATATCCTGTACCTGGGGATCGATTCGGTACTTTGAGTGTGTTGTTTTTTCAATAATAAACTTTTATTTATTTATTTTTATTTAACATATTTCTCAATATATAAAATTAACAAATATCAAGACAACATCCAACTCTTTGTATTGTAACATCAGTTTAATTTCTTTAAGGTGAAAACTGTTGAAAACAACAAGACTGTTTTGTCTTATTGTACAAATTAAATCCAGCTCCACATGTTTCTATTGATGTCATTTCCCCACTGGAAAACTTGTGTGATGGAGGTCCATGGAAGCAAATAAGTTTAAATCAAATAAACAAAAGAGGATGGAGTTAAAATAAATAAAAGGTATTTAAGCTACTTTTTGAGCATCCAAAACGCTTCAAGTTAGCTGTTTGTGCTCCTTCAGGTCAGACGTGTTCAGACTGTCAAGAAGCTCCTCTGTTGTTTTCCTCTGCTGGTCTCTGTTTAATGGTGGATGAAATAAAGAAAGTGTCGGTACTTTATTTACTTTGAGCAAGCGAACGTCGTGTTCACAAGATAATTAATCCACCAGATAATTCAGAGGAGGTCTGTTCGGTGAGTTTAGGAGCTGCGAGGCTTTCAAGCTACGTTCAGACCGAGCTCTGCTGACGTCATTACGCTCTTGCGTGATGCTGCGTTCAGGACAAGCATGGAAAACTCACCACTCTTGCGCCAAACCGGTCGCAGTGATGCGTTTAGGTACCGAAACATGGTACCGACAGAATTCGGTCTGTGCGTAAAAAAGTATCGAATTCGGTACCCATCCTTAACGATGTTATCACAAATTACTGAGAAGCAAAAAGCTCTGCCTACACACTTTGTATCAGACTTGTTTTATTTATTTATTTATTTATTTAGTATTTGATGCAGTTAAAAATATTCTGCATGTGCTCAGATGCTAAGAGTATTACTACTCCATGTATACTTAAAACACTTTAATTTCCGGAAAGGCAAAGCTGATTGATTTAAATACACCTTAACATTCATGAGGTACTTTACATTGACTGTTTATGGTTGAATGTGGGCATGTAGAGGGTAGAACCTGAGGCGGGACCTCGTGTTCAAACTCTGAGGTGAAGATGTGATCTAAAAAGGAAAGGTACGCAGAAACATGCGTACGTACGGTTTTATAAATCTGAATTTTTTTGGAGTATGCCATTTCTGCCTTTTGGCCGTATGTTCACTTTTAGTATGGTTTCCATGTAATACTTTATAAATCTGACCCTAGAGTACTTATAAGTACGACCTTTTCTAAGCAGCTGTAATCCATGTTAGTGTTTTCAAACTGTTTTTTCTGTTTCTCAGTTGTTATTATAAATTTGTCTCTTCCAAAGATCCTGCATGGTTTCAAGGAGCAGGTCGGGGAGGAGAACTGGCAGCAGTTTTCTGAGCAGTTCCCTCCACTGCTAAAGGAGAGACTGGCAGCCTGCTATGGCGTTTAGATCCCCCACACCCACCCAAGAGGTAAACACACCGATTCACATCCCAGCACGTGTCTGAACTGTTGACGTTGACGTCCCCTTTTCCTCCCTCCCAGGTGAGCCAGCAGGAGGAGGGTGAACGGGAAACTCATCCATCTGTGTATTGCACGGCCCTGATCTGGGGGGAGGGAGAGGGACGCTTTAGGCCGCTCCCCCTGATGGACGGCCCCCACGCCCTATGTGTTTGTCCATAGAGGGAGGGTAGGCGGGTGGGAGGGAGGGACAAGGGGGGACACCTCTAGATTAACTAGGCAGGGACCCGACACAGAAAAACTAACTGGTAGGGACAGATAGAGAGGACGACTCGGAGGAGAGACAAGTTTGATAAAAATAAAATAATAAATGAATGAGAGAGAGAGAGAGCTGCACAGAGAGAGTTCAGGGAAAGGCAGGGAGGGGGGGATCACTAACAAAGCAGGGAAAACCAGCTCCAGACTGGTCTGTTACTGGGACAGTTCAGATTTTAATAGTATAGCTTCACAGACAGACCCAACATACACAAACTCACACACTTGCACATGCTGCACATGGACCAGACTGTGGGTGGCAACAGACTTTTTGAGACCTGCTACACAGTTAGGGACAGACAGGTGATTAAAACCTCTTCATTTTCTGGGTAATATCTTTTATTTTTTTCGGGGATTAAGATTGAATTTCAACGACTCCATCTGCTCTCACTGAATTCTGCTGTCTGTTAGATAATCCCACAATCCTCACGTTTCCTACCTTCGTTTTTACTGGAGTGCTGCTTGGAGCTGTCATCGTATCAGACATGTTGCTGTCACATTTTCTACCCGAATAAAAGAAAGAGCAGGATTTTTTTATTTTTATTATTATTATTATTATTATTATTTTATTTTTTTTGTGGCAAACCGTTTTCCTCCCAGAAAGGAGGATTAGGGCTAACAAGTTTTCTCACCTGAGCAGGAGAAAATCGCTCAAAAAGAAAGATCCACATCCTTAGTTTTTGTCTTCTGCAAGTCAAGTGTGTGTGTGTGTTTGTGTGTGTGTGTGCGTGCATGTGCAGTTTGTAAATCCTGACTCTGGCATTCTGTGTTAACAGTGTATGTAATCAATATATTGTTTTTGAAATGGTACCAAGCTAAAACTTGACTCCCCACCACAATGTCCTTGGCACCTGTTAACTGTGACCAAGTGTGTGTGTTTGTGTGTGTGTGCGCACGCACGTGTGACTGAGTGTTTTTGTCCACATCCATTTGATGCCATATTGCTATCTTTAGTAAAACAGTGATATGATCTTTATAATGTTTTATATTAGGTCTTTATTTCTTTTTTTTTATTTTTATTTTTTTGCTGCTACTGAATTTTTTTTATTAGTTTGTTTCGATAGTGGATTTAAATTCACATAAAAATTGAATTAATGCTATATTCAGTGACTGTTAAGTTGTTTTTGTTGCACTTTTTATTTGGTTTATTTTATTTTTTTATTTTTTGTGTAATGTATTTTTTTTAAACCTCACCCATATATGTCTTGACCCTAATGTCAGTGTTTGTCGTACTGTGTTGCACTGTGAAATTAAGTGTCTTTGACTGGCAAAAATATCCCAATACTAAAATGGCAAATAAAAACAACTTTGTGAAACTGCGACTAATCCGCACTTTTACAATGACTAACCTTGCCATATTGCTGAGGTGTGTGTCTGTGTGTGTGTGTGTGTGTGTGTGTGTGTGTGTGTGTGTGTGTGAGAGAGAGAGAGAGAGAGAGAGAGCGCAAGAGAAATCCTGCATGAGTGTGCATGGGTGATTTATTTTCCCATGAGCATGTATTTTCTAGTCAGATGGTGTTTGTATGCCCTAAGGGTGCAGTAAAGTTAATATTTTTTTTCTATTTGAAGAATGTAGCAGTTCAGTTCACACGCACGGTTTATTTAAAGTCCCCAGGAGTTTGGATGTGTGTGAAGTAGCGCATGTTTGTGTCTTTCAGAGTGAAATTATTGCCCTTTACGCACCAACACACCACCTCAATTCACACAATGATAGCAAGGGACACTGGAATAAGAGCTAGGACACTGCCAAAGAGCAATAGCCACTGAAATTTAAAGAGGAGCAGAAGCAAACTGCTGCTTCACTGGTGTTTTTCTGCATCGAGCCGATGTGCAGGTATACAGGTACAGCAGGGCTGTAGGGAATAATTATGATTTTTTTGCCAGCAAAATTAAATACAGGGATTTTTTTTCCTCAAATCTGTTTTTCTAGCTTGTATTTAAAACAGACGTTTAATTTGACCACAACTGTAATCTTACCCGCTCTAGTTTGACCTTTATATACACACACAGTCTCCTAGTTTTGAGTTTTTAAAGAAAAAAAATAGAAATTGTTACTGTTTGTTTCAGTGTTTTTTTATTTACTTCACTGATATTTTCTAATTCCATCATAAGTTTTTGTATTTGAAAGATAGGTGTACATTTTTTGTTTTAAAGAAACTAGTGTTCTGCTTTAGTGCCAGTCATAAATCTCATTAAGTCTGAGGAGGAGAATTTGAGGGGGGGGGGGCGGTTGTAAATCTATGTTTATGTTTTTAAAAAAAGCATGTTTCTGAATAAGGTTTTCATTTTCATCAGCCTGATTTCTCCAACTGAGCAACAAGTCTTGTCAGGCAGGTGGGAACAAAAATAAAATGCTTTTGAGTCCATTTGCTTTACTGTGTGTAAAATTCTCTGAAAATCCAGCTGGATTGTTGATTCTTCGAAATAAATCTTGCCATGCATGCTGAAAAATGGCAATTATAGTTAAAAGTTTTGTGTCTTTTGTCAGAAGGTGAGATTAGACAGCACTCACCTTTTAAAATGAGATCTAAACACAAAATGTCTTCTAATTTAAGGGTTTAAAGTGTCTGAAAGGTAAATTATTTTCAGAGAAAACCAGTTTTAACCTTGTTTAATGGTATGATGGTATTTTGAAGTTTGCTCTCATTTAGATTGTATGGGACGCCACCTGAAATGTGACAAAATGCGTTTGCTTAGAGTATTTTGACAAAATGACTTGTAATGTGTTTGACAGAAGCAGAAAGGTTCTTCTGGTTTCATGCAAACAAAATGACAGACGACACAACGGAGCACTACAGTTCAAATGTAGGGAATTTTAAAAAGAAATTTACATTTTAAACTAGAAGCACTCGGAGAGTGCAAACCTCAGCCAAGACCAATTTCCCCCATCCTGTAATAGTTACAAAGGGGCACACCAATACTACAATGCCACCTGCTGGACACTTTGAAACCCACGCCCTGTGAAAGCATCACAGCTTTGCCGATGTCAGAGTGTTAAAAGAAAAAAAATTCCTGTATCCGCATTGTGATCCGGAACATCGCCAAAATTAAACGGTGTGTTCCTTGGCCCAGTACCCATATGTGGTAAAAAAAAAAATTTCATGACAATCCATCCACACGTTCTTGAGTAATGTTGTCTACAGACAGACATACGCCACCGAAAACATTACCTCGCCTTTGCCGGAGGTAAACATTGAAACCTTGATGGAATGCACGTCATTCAGACCTTTCATGCAAAAGATTTAGACTGCAAAATAAGAGTTGTAACCGTTTTTGTCAAACCTAATGCATTGTGAAATGTTGCAGGACTTGCAGCTACTACTATATCAATACTGTAGCTCAATATTCATCAAACTGAATTATTGTCTTTTTTGTGTTTGCTAAAGCCAGTTGACTGTCGGTCATCTTAAATTGGAATCGCTTCAATAATTTGAAGATGTGAACCTAATTAATATAATCTGAAAGTTTCATTATAATCCACCCAGTGGTTCATGAGATATTTTGCCAACAGAGAATAATTAATGACAAAATTTTAAACAAAGAACTTGTATAAGCTATGAGTGCTCAGAATATGTTTTTGAGAGCCGTCTCTGCTACTGTATTACCATCCCAAATATAAGTACATAATTTGTAAAATTGACCGACTTTTAGCTCTTGTTGTGGTTTTGAAGGTCAGTTGTTTGTAGCAGCCATTCTAAACTTGGGTTGAATCTCAAATGTAATCAGTTTTAATACAGTCACTGATTATTATCTGCAAGTTTCAAGCAAATTCATCCTGTGGTTCATTAGAAATTTTGCTAACAGACAGATGTACACACAGAAGCAATCATGTTATCACTAGCCTTTCACAGTGGCACATAATTAAGCATGGTTTAAAACTTGTGCACACTTTAGAGGGATATAAAACCCTTCAATTCCTTAAAAAAATATCAGTATTTTAAAGCAGGGATCCATGCACAGCAATGATGACAGTTTGTCAGAAATCAAACACAAATCATTCATGTCATTCTATAGTAAACATACCTCAGGTTTCTTTAACTCTGGGATTTTTTTTTTTACCATGAAGCTTGGGGTGGAGCTTGGTTCAGGAAAGTCCCTGTTTTGGGTTCAGTTCACTTTTCTCACTACATGTCCATGTTCCATGTGGAAACAAACTGTCACAGAAACAAAGATAGTTGAAACAAAAATGCATGTATTTGATATGCGTTGTGAGAAAACTTCATAGGACAGGCTGCACTTTCTCTTCCAACAATTATTTGAAAAGTGTTCCAACAGAGAAAGTGTTAATGGTTGCACTCTTGATGTCAAAAGAGGATTTATTTATTGAAATACTTGACGATAAAAAGAAATGCCATTTTTGATGAAGTTTTAGGCCTTCAAGTTTGAAAGCTATAACTAAGAGTTTCTGCTGAAATTTGAGTAGTAATGTATACTGTAATATAGCTCAGTACAGCTGCCACATACCAGGTGCAAAGGTACATACCTGATACCTAATGGGTGCACACCTGGTACATACTGTACTTGGTATGGATGTGGCTGGATACCCAGTACTTTCCTAGAACAAGTCACGTCATAATACAGCCTGGTCCCTGTAGGTACCAGTTATGCTGTATACTACCCCAATTTCAATGAAGTAAAACAAATAAAAACAGAATATGATGATTTGCAAATGCTTTTCAGCCCATATTCAATTGAATTCAGTACAAAGACAAGATATTTAAAATCTAAACAAATAAACTTTATTGTTTTTGTGCAAATATTCACTCACTTTCAATTGGATGCCTGCAACACAACAAAAAAGCTGAGACAGTTACATCACCTTTTCTTTTAACACTAAGTGTTTGGGAACTGAGGATATAATTGTGAAAGCTTTGTAGGTAGAATTATTTCCCATTCTTGCTTGATGAACAACTTCAGTTGCTCAACAGTCCAGGGTCTCTGTTGTAATGTCAATGCGCCACACAGGATCTCGGCACAGTTGTGGTAAGGAGGGTGTCTGGTTTGGGAACCATAGGGTCTAAACTCTGCTGTATGTGGATGATGTAGTTCTGTTGGTGTCTTCGGACCAAGAACTGGGGTGGCTCACGGCTGGGATGAAAGTCAGTTCCTGTAAGTATGGGTCCCGTCCTCAGTAATGAGGGCGTTGCTTCGAGCTGAGTCGAAAGGCAAAGCTCTGGATTTACTGATATGTCTCTGTTCCAACCCTCACCTGTGGACATGTGGTGTGGATGATGGCCGAAAGAACGGGATCCCGGATACAAGCGGCTGAAAGGAGCTTCCTTTGTAGGGTGGCTGGGTTCAGCCTTAGAGAAAAGGGGAGGAGCTCTGTCATATGGGGGAAGCTCAGAGTAGAGCCGCTGCTCCTCCGCATCAAAAGGAGTCAGTTGAGGTGGTTCATGCATCTGATTAGGACGCCTCCCTTTAGAGGAGTTCCACACATCCCACAGGTAGGAGGCCGTGGGGAAGACCCAGGACTCGCTGGAGGGATTATGAATCCTGTCTGGCCTGGGAATGCCTCAGGGTCCTCAGGATGACCTGGAAAGTGTTGCTGAGGAGAGGGATGTCTGGGTTTCTCTCCTGGACCTGTTGCCTCCACGACCCGACTACAGATGAGCGGAAGAGGATCAAGATGGAGAAAATGCTCCACACATCTTCACTGGGAGACAGGTCTGGACTGGAGGCAGGCTGATCTAGTACCTGCACTCTTTTACTACGAAGCCATGCTGCTGTAACACGTGCAGAATGTGGCTTGGCATTGTCTTGCTGAAATAAACAGGACAACCCTGAAAAAGCAAATATGTGACGAGTTGGGAGTGAGAATGTGTAGGAAAAAGACGTGGCTTGGATGGCAGCATAATGTTCTAAAACCTGTATGTACCCATAAAATGAAATTACCCATGCTATCAGAGAGGCTGACGTTTGAGCTGAAAACAATCCAGACAGTCCTTTTCCTCTTTGGCCCAGAGGACAAGACGTCCATGTTTTCCAAAAACAGTTTGAAATGTGGACTCATCAGACCACAGGACACTTTCCCACTTTGTGTCAGTCCATCTCAGATGAGCTCAGAGAAGCCAGTGTTTCTGGGTGTTGATATCTGGCTTTGGCTTTGCAAGGTTTTAACTTGAAGATGTCGAGATTAACTGTGTTCACTGACAGTGTTTTTTAAGTCTCCCTGAGCCCATTTGGGTTTTTAAGGCCGTGCTGCCTGAAGGATCGAAGGTCACGGGCATTCAATGTTGGTTTTCAATCTTGTTGCTTGTTCAGATTCTCTCAATCTTTTGATGATATTATGGACTTTAAATGATGAAATCCCTAATTTCCTTGACTATTTGAATACACAGTTCAATTTAGTTTATTTATGTAGCGCCAAATCAAAACACGTTGTCTCAGGGCACTGTACATGAAAAAAGAACAATCTAAAAAAGAAGCCAGCAGATTGTGTTGAATCACTTCACCACAGTGATGAACTTCACCCCATCCTTGCTTGTGAATGACTGAGCCTTTTAGGGATGCTCACTTTATACGCAACTGAGACACTCATCTGTTTCCAACTAACGTTCATCTGTGAAACGCTCCAAACAGGTGTTTTTTTGAGCATTCATCAACTTTCCCAGTCTTTTGTTGCCTCTGTCTCAGCTAAAAAACAATAAAATTTCTCTGTTTGAACAATAAATATCTGTTTTTTGTAGTTTATTCAATTGAATATACTGTATGTTAAAAGAGATTTGAAAATCGTCATATTTTGTTTATGTTTTACACAATGTTCCAACTTCATTGGAATTGGGATTGTAGCAACATGATGGATCAGTGGTTAGCACTGCTGCCTCACAGCAGGAAGGTCGTGAGTTCGGTCTTTGTGTGGCGTTTGCATGTTCTCATGCTTGCATGGATTTTGCTTGTTAAATTTGGGGTTTTGTTCCTCAGTACTCTGTGTAAAGTCTCCGTAGGTTTTCATTTCTGTCAGCTTTTTAGTTGCTGCTGTTAAAGGTAGGAATGAAAATTGTCACACTGTGAGGAATCCTTTTAGCCAAGTCCAAATGGTAACGCTTTCTTTTTCAGTACCCTTATTACCATGTAATTACAAGGTAGTAAAAGGGGTAATTAAATGTAATTACTACCTTATTACCATGTAATTACGTGGTAATTAGGGTACAATTTTACTATGTAATCGTCTGCAGTAATGTAGCACTTACCTGGTAATGTATTACAATTCACTCTAACAGCTAAATAAGTAGTAGGTAATTTGGACAGTTACATTTTATTGCAATTAACCACTAACCCCAAAATTTAGTTGCACTCTTTTGGTTATAAATATAGTTTTGATTTACTATTGAATAGTAATTTGATTGTAGTTACCCAATAAAGGTAGTTTTACTTACAGTATGTCCTGATGCATCTCAGTAATCCAGGTAAAAAAATCAAAAAGAAAAAAATTGTGTAGGTCTTCTGGACGGGTTCTTCTCTAATGAAATGTTTCGTCTCTCCTCCAAGAGACTTCTTCAGTCTGAGAGTTTCAGGCAAAATTCAGGCTTTTAAGCACTGCCTCCATGTGACTGATACTCACATCACATGACTATCGTTGACACCTAATTAACACCTATTGTTAACAGGGGGTGGAGTGATACTGGCTATAGCAGCGCTGTAGGAGGGGGACAACTGAAAACGGAGGCCTCCACCTCTGTTTAATGATGGACGGTCTTTCTTCACAAAAATGGCTTCTTTTACTCCTCTCTCAAACCAACGTTCCTCTCTATCAAGAATGAGAACATCCTCATCTCTGAAAGAGTGACCGCTGGCCTGTAAATGAGTGAAAACTACAGAGTTCTGGCCATTAGATGTAGCTCGTCTGTGTTGGGACATTCTTTTGAACAGTGGCTGCTTTGTTTCCCCGATGTATAACTGGTCGCAGTCCTCCTGGCACTTAACAGCATATACAACATTGCTCTGTTTGTGCCAGGGCACCGGATCTTTGGGGTGAACCAGCCTTTGCTGTAATGTGTTTTGGGGTTTGAAAGCCACTGGGACATCATGTTTAGAAAATAAACCTTTTACTTACAGTAGTTTTTCTTTTGTACCCTAATTACAACGTAATTACATGGTAATAAGGGTACCATAAAAGAAAGCGTTACCGTACAATTATGTTCATTTTTGGAATGCATTAGCCATAGCTACAATTTACTGAATATATTAATTTATTTCACATTATTCTAAGATTTAAATCAATGAATGTTGGTCATCTGTTTTTAAATACACCCCACCCTCCAATATAAATCACTCTGAAACATAGAAGAGCAGTGAAATTACGTCATTGTTTATTTTACAACTTTTTTTCTGTATTTACATTTAAAGTGACATAGTATCTAATTTGAAAATAAAAAGTAAATACACAGATGATTATTTTTTCATAATAAACTACAGTTTATAACAGAAAAGTTGTCTTTACAATTAAAGGAAATAAAAACAAATAAAGTCAGTCATTATTGTCTTATTGGTCCACAGCTTCTCTCGTTAAATAAAACAAACTTAATGTCTCATAAACACTAAACGGAGCACTGCTGCAGACATGAACATTTAACTGTAGTTTAAGACAAAAATGAATCAAATTAACTTATCTTAAATGAATGCATATCACCTGCTACCTTGTGTGACGTTTTTTTTAACAATCTCTGCGCTGAGTATTTATTGTAAAAGACTCGCAGCTACCACATCAAATTTTACTATAATGCCTGTAAAACTGACTGAGTTGTAGATATTTGTGTTTACTGAGGTTGGTTAGCTGTCACAGGCGTCTTGAATTATGTTGGTTCCAAACATTATTAAGGTGTGATTGCTTTGAGTATTACAAAAAGACATTTCTACCGGTTTGAGATATTTTGCTGACACAGACACACGCAGGCAATTGCATTACCTGCTGCCTTTCATAGGGGCAGGTGAAAACTCTCCACCTGTTTGACCTTTCTGCCTTTACCGAACATTATATCAGACTTGCACATTATTAACAACAGAAAGACAGCAGCCTTTGACTTAAAGAGTTTGAAATACAGCAGGTATTTATTCCAGTTCCACAACTGCATTTTGGTGAGGATGACACTCATTCCTCTTCTTTGGATGATCCTTTTCGTGATGTCAAGAACACAGAAATAACCACCTTTCCTGCAGGATCTTCATGCACTGAAATAGCTTTTCTGTCCAGAGTCACAGATCCAGGACGATGTGCAGCTTTTTGTTTTCATGAAACAGAAAACAATGAGGGAAAGTATATCCTGATGGTTGTTATTTGAAGTCTTGTTTTATGAAATGTATGACCTCCACACAAAACATGTCCTCATCCCAGTCTTAAGTATAACCAGTGAAGCGATGCAGCTGTTGGTTCTAGTTAGAAAAATTGCATTCCTCTGCCTTTTCTCCTTTCCGCCCCATTTTCTTGGATCAGAAGTTGCTGAAGACCTCTTGTTTCCTGCACCAGTCCATAGGAGGCGCTCTCTTCTTGTTACGGTTGGAGGTGATCTTCTGTTTGGCCTCAGCAGCAGTGGGACTCAGGCGCAGGCCACTTTCTATGAAAGGGTCTGAAATACGTCGGTCGTCATCATCAGGAATCTACAATACAAACAGATGTGATTATTATTAGCTCTTCTTAATGTTCTCTTGTTGGTTTTTATATGTTGTTTTGCCAACGCACTACCTCTGCATACTTTGTGCTATTTCAGCTCAGGAGATGGGTTGGGATATACTTTTATAAAATATTTACAAATATTTTCCATAGAAATACATTAAGAAAATCCAGTGGTGGGCAGCACTAATCTAAAAATTAGTTCCACTAACCCTAAAGCACTAACTCATATATTTAGATCCCCTAATTCTAAAGCACTAACGCACTGAAAAATTTAGCAAAAGCTAATTCTAAAGCACTAACGCACTGAAAAATTTAGCAAAAGCTAATTCTAAAGCACTAACGCACTGAAAAATCTGGCAAAAGCTAATTCTAAAGCACTAAAATAACCCAGTCAACCCAAGAACATTCTTCAACAGACAACATGAGTCACATGTTGTCATATTGCTCTGTTAAGACTTATCATTGACATTCCTCAGCTGTATTTGAGTTCATATATTGTCATATTGTCATCTAGTGCACAGCAAAAACAGGAGTGTTAAAATTTCAGTGTTAAACTTTTGGGTGTTGATTTAACACCCCCTAGTGTTATTTTAACACTTTCTGAGAACACTCACACCCAGTGTTGGTGTTAATTCACAGTGTTAATTTCCTCAGTGTTGTCTCAACACTGGACAGTGTTAATTAAGCTCCGCCCACAGTTAAGTCTTGTATAACACTAAACAGTGTTGTTAAATGACACCATGCAGTGTTGAAAGCAGTATTCTGAAAAGCCCCACCCTCTTCCACCTCATGTCAGACAGACCAGCATTTACCCAGCATTCCTTGCTGAGAAATCTTGCAGAAATGATGTTTTTGCATGTTTATGACCATTAAAGACGTTCATGAGAGTTAAAATGAGTTGTTATGGTTTGTTTTCTTGTTCAGTTTGATCAAGTTGTTCAACCTTGAGTTCGTGTTATTGGCCAAAAATTGACACCATGAGTGAGAGGTATGTCTTGGTGTGTGAGGAGTGACTCAATTATACTTTTCTACTAATCACTGAGTACTATAAATGCAACAGTACAGAGAGTTTGATATTTACTCTTGAGTGTTAAATTTACACTCTCACTTTCATGGTGTATTGACACCTTGAGGTGTCTGTGAACATTTCAAACACCACAATTTCCTTATTGTTGAAAATTTAACACTGGCTGGTGTTACTGTTAATGCTATATTTTAACACTAACACTATTTTTATGTTAATGTGACACCAAGAATTGTTGAATATTAAACACTGGTTGGTGTTAAATTAACAAAAAAATGAGTGCTAAAATTTAACACTTTCACAAATGTTATTTTAACATCAGCAAGTGTGGACACATATAGACACTTTGTTGGTGTTAAAATTAACACTGGAATTTTTGCTGTGTGGATAAGTGACACACAAATGAACAAAATGAGTGAGAGCTTTCACCTTCAGCTGTTAAAATAATGTTGATCAATAACATTTAAAGATCTGAGTTAGTGATTCTAAATTTAGCAAGTGCTAATCCACTAATAAATTCTAAAATTAGCAAAAGCCCTAAAGCACTAATCAGGAAATTAGTTCCCCTATTAGTGCTTTAGGGAACTGTGCCCACCACCGAGAAAATCCTTTAAAAACCCTTTCTTTCAAATCTGCATTAGCATAAATAATCTATAGCTTTCTTGTGCTACTTTTGGATTTATATTAACCTTTAGGTAAATTTAGCTTTTAGCTTCTGTTCTGCTACTTTGAGCTTTTGGGTTTCTTTTAACAACACTACGTTAACCCTGCAACTTTTAGAAATCAGCTAGCCTTTTGCTACTTTTCACTAACCGTTTGAAACCTTTAGCTTTTAGTTGGCCATGTATTACTTTTAGCTTTTAGGTAGACTTTTGCTACTTTTAGCTCACAGTTAATATTTTGTTACTTTTGTGCTTTTGCCACATTTACCAGTTCTACAATTTGCAGAAATGAACTAGCGAACGATCTGAATCTTTTGAATGACTCTTTACAACGAACGATAGGAGCCGGATTGCGGGCAGTAACGAGCCATTTGCAGTTTTATTTCTTTTATTCCTCATAAAATCTTTATTTTTCATACTTAAATTCCTTCCCATTTGCTTTTTCACGGAAAATGTGCAGAGTTGTGAAGTACAGAAGCTCACGGTGACGGGGGGGGGGGGGGGGGTCCGCTTGACAAACACATGGTTCAACCCACATGATGTGATGACGTATTTTCCTACGTGATGACGTAATACGTTCAAAATCAAAAGGCTCTTTTGAACGGCTCTATGAACCAAACGGCTCCCCAAGATCCGGACCCTTCAAAGAGCCATTTATCCCATCTCTAGAATTCTTGTTCCTCACCTGGAAGCTCATATCTGAGCTGCTGATCTCTGATTGGGTGGTGGAGCTTCTAGAGGAGTGGGACGCTGTGCTTCCATTGGCCCTGGATTTTGGAGACAGGTTTGTAATGGTAGCGTCTGTCACAGAGACGTTTATGATTGGTGTGTCTGAAGCAGGAAGCCCAATGGTTGGGGACGGGGTTGGCCGGGGGTTTTCTGCAGGTCTTACATCCACATAGACCTCTGTGAGAAGAGAAACAGTCAGGCCTCGCATCTGGAGCATGTAGAGATTTGTGTGTCAGAGAAGGCGTGCCATCTGACCTTTGATATGTGTGCTGGTTGGTGTAATTCCCAGTCTGTGGAAGAGTTCGTGTGTCTCTTGGTCCACCACTAGGAGTCGGACCTCTTCCCTTTCTGATTTGATGAGCGCCACCACCTCTGAGTGCCTCAGACCTCTTGTGTTCACTCCATTTACCTGCATGGAGTAAAGAGCAACAAAAATAATGAAGGGGAATACTGTGAGAGGCAGGAAGAGTTGTTGCACCATCCTATAATGAAAGAAATACAGATATCATTTGTGATTTGAGAGGAAACTGCTTTGCATGAATTCCCTTCCTGCACCTATCAAGGAGATCAGAACTGAAACAAACTTGTCTAAAGGTGAGACACACAAGCAGAGGCGTGTTTGCTGTAAACCATTATTCAGCATGATTTCTTCCAACCTGATTCTCTTTTACACAACAAACTGGTGCATTTCTCATCAAACCTTCATACAAAGTGCACTCCTGACTCATAATAATAAAAGTGTTCTTTTCTTTTCTTTTTTTGGTCACATCAGTAAAAAAAAAAACCCTGAATACTAGTTTCTTAATTTCTTCATCATCAGTGAGTTTTTTTCTTTATATATACATAAAGATGAAAGGAGAAAAGGGGAAATGTAATAGGAAAGATTGAAAGAGAGATTAGAAAATATATTAAATATACACCAAAAAACACAAGGCAACACATCCGAGATCTGTCTGCTCACCTAAAAATAAATGGATCTAAGAAAACATACCAACAAAATACATATCCATATAACAATAAAATTATTATTTTTTTCTGTAAGGCATGTATACATTTATATGTACGCATACATACACATATAGATATACATACATACATACATACATACTAGGGGTGCAACAATGCATGTACCCGTATCGAACCGTTCAATACAGAGCTTTAGGTTCAATACACACTTGTACTGAACAATACAAATTTTTAAAATTTATTTTAGCAACTTGTCTTCTGAAGATGCTCTGTGTTGAAGGWTCAGTGGATCTGTGTTCGACTACTCCACCTAGGCTGCATTTTCAAGCGCAGATCCACTGAGAAACTTGCTGTTTCAGCAACATTTAAGTTTAAATTTAATTAAATACAGTACTTTTGAGGTTAAACAAATGTTCATAAATAATTTCAATAAATTACAAGTTAAAAAGAGCATGGAAATTTTGGTTATTTGTATCAAAAAAATATCGAACCGTAAGGCTAAAGTATCGAACCAAACCGTGAATTTTCTGTGTCGTGGCACCCTTAATATTTACATACTGTATATACACACAATCAGTGACTAGTCAGAACCCCCTGGATCTGAACACCAGAAAGTCTTGTTCTATTTCATCCCTACTGACCGCCAGAGGGCGGTGCTAAAAGCACTGAATGTTCCCTTTGCACCTGCGCCGTTCGAGCTGTAAAACC